CAGCCATTACGCTAACTGCTGGTTCCCTCCTGTCACTATTCTTGTGTTTGAACATTTCCATAATGAAAAGTTTAAAAAAAAAAATGGGGAGGGGCAGCAGTAGCATAATGATTAAGGCTGTGGACTTTCACATGACTGACCATGATTGGAATCCCTAACCCAATGGCTTGAAAATCACTCTGGGCATATGTATGTGTGTGCCCAGAATCCTGAAAGGAGAAGGGACTGCTGCATGGCCATCTCCCCTGGGGGTGATTTCTCACTTTCCTTCTCTGTCTTGTTTCTCTCTCTCCCCCTCCCCCTCTCGCCCTCCCTCTGCCTCTCCTTCTCCCCACAGCGAGTGCATGTGCCCTATGGCAAAAACCTAAAGAAAAAAAAACTTAAAAGAGGAAAGAAGTAGACTTCTTGTTAAATTCCAGTGTTGACAACTAGTTCAAATTGAATCCACTCTAGAGACCAAGGAAAACAAGTTTTCAGGTGCTCAGTTTTTCATCTGTATCAAAATTCTCTAAGAAATGCTTGAGGCCAGCAGATGGCATAGTGGTTCCGTTGTTGGATACCCACATGGCTGACCATGGTTTGAGTCTTGGTCCCATTGGCTTGAAACTCAATGCCGGGCAATGTGTGCATGTGTCCCAGATCCAGGTGGAAAATAGAGGAGAAGGGATTGTGACGTGGCCATCCGTTCCGGGGCTGATTTTTCATTCTCTCAGTTTCTGTCTGTTTCCTTGGCGAGTGCACACGTCCTAAGGCAAAAACCTTTACAACAACAACAACAAAATGCTTGAATACAGATTATGTTAAGCATGGGCCTTTATGTGGCATTTAGAAATTTTATATTATTTCCTATTTCTATTGAAATTGATGTTTAAAAAAGTTCTATACCTGTTGAATTTTGTGTCTGTACATAACTTGTGTTTCACTTTTTGTGATAAAGCTATATTTAACTTTGAATATAGTCTTCTCTTGAATTATTTACTGTAAACCCTTAATCATAATTACCTAGTTAAAAATTAATAGGGGGACCAGCAGTTAGTATAATGGCTATGTTGCTGGACTCCCATGTAGTCGACTGCGGTTCAAGTCCTGGAACCGGTGGCTTAAACTCATGCCGGGCGTGTGTGTGTGCGTGCGTGTCCAAGATCCCGAGAGGAGAATGGAGGAGAAGGGATTGCAGCATGGTCATCCCCCCTGGGGGATTATTTCTCGCTTTCCGTCTCTCTGTCTCTGTCTGGCGAGCGCACGCGCCCTATAGCAAAAACCTCTCCAAAAGAAAAAAAAATTATTAGGAAAATTTGATACTGAAAAAGGGTACATGTAACATGAAATTGTAAAGCATAATAATAAAATGAGTGTTCATGAATCCACCACCCAGCTGGGGAGGCAGAGCATTGTCCGTTCCTTTGTAGTTGCCTGTGTTCCTGCCCTACCCCTCTGCTTGTCTTCTCCTCCCTGGTTCATTTATTTGGCTAGTTTATTGATGGGACACTCAAATTCATTAATAGTTTCTAAAATGTATGAGAAAAATCAGATTTTTGTGTATGTGCTAATTGCTATAAATCACATTATTGCCTATTATCTTTCTTGACTTGAGCTAAGTATGGTTACTAACAGGTTCTCAGCATGGGCCTCCTGCTCACCTTTCCTACAGCTCCGAACAAACGCTTAGTGGTAAGACTGTCTTCTGTGCCTGTGTATATTCATGGAATAGCTCCTGGTTATATGGTGGATAAAACCGATTAAAAGAGCTGACTGAGTAACATGTGACTTAGTTGTGAATTTCCCTGAGTGAGAAAAAAGGTCAGTTTAGGGAATTAGTGTCCCTGGTGATTTCCGCAAAGCAGTCTATTAATAGTTTCCCCCTTACTATCATTAGGTTGTGACTCCCACATGGTTCTTGTGTTGATCTTTTGTTTGTTTGTTTGTTTGTTTGAGAATGTCTAAGTAATTTATAGATGTGATGAATTCGTTGCATTTCTTCTGTCGAGTATGTCTTTTTTTCCAGCATTTTGCAGGGGGGGCTACTTTTTTTGTTCAAGTCCCATTAAACTTTCTCAGAAGTGGTAGGGTCCTCCTCCTCCAGGGATGATGCCAGTAGGACCTGCTCCTGGAGTGAGGCCACCCATGGGAGGCCACATGCCCATGATGCCTGGGCCCCCGATGATGAGACCTCCTGCCCGGCCCATGATGGTGCCCACTCGGCCAGGGATGACTCGGCCAGACAGATAAGGATGAAGGGAGGCTTCTTTATGTCCGTTTTATATTAACTTGTTCTACTTCACCAGGAGATCATGGAGCTGTGACTCTGGGTGTTTTCTAACAGCATGTCAAGGAAGACTTTCCCCCTTCCTATTAAAAACAATTAAAAATAAGAGTAGTTTTGGAGGAGAGAAGTGAGGCAAAAAAGTGCAGTTTTCATTTGTATTGTGAAATGTGAAAATAATAAAATCGTCAACTGTTTTAGTTAAGAGCGTGTCCGCTTTTTCCTTCCGCCTGCATTCTTTGTGTATGACAAGGGAAATGAAATGAGCAGTCGTGCTTCTCTAGCTCACTCTCTCCAGTGTAGCCTCCGAGTGAGATTCTTTTTCCTTAGCTATATAGTCAGTTCTTTGGGCTCCCTGCCTTTCGTCAAGTTCTCTGGTGTAGGACTTGAGTGAATCTATCACTTACGGAGCTTTTGTTGGTTAAAATAATAAACAGCGTAATTGGCTAATTTTTCTTATGAACAGCACTTTGTGTAGTAAGTGGAAAGTTTTAAGTCTTTTATGCTGAATAGGGGAAAAGTACTTCATGTTGTTTGCACGTCAGCTAAGAATGGCAAGCATTGCCGTAACCTCAGCTTCTCCTTTCCCAGCTCCCCTCTGTCTTGACTTTAAATAATCTGAAAACTTCCTATAAGAATGGTAAAAGTACAGATTTCCATGGTACAGAAGGTGTCTTTAGAATGCTGTTTGTTAGGGAGTAGGATATTTTTACAAGTGTCTCCAAAGTAACGTTACTGTTCATATTCAGTGTAGTGTACAGTCTGAACTCTTTTTCCATTTCGTGGGAGTGTAATTGTTATAGCTGGGGAAGGCAATTTGGCAGTATTAGGATTATGATACCTGTACCTTTGATTTAGCAATTCCTTGCCTAGGAGTTTTCCTACAAGTTGACTTGCACGTGTATGAAACGACATGGATGAGATTATGTGTTACAGCAAAAGATTGGAAATAACATACACGGGGGTTCAACAATGCGGGACTGATTTATCAAGTATGATACATTTGGTAAGTTACATTCCATGTTAACACTGGGGATAGATTTTGGTGTAGCTGTGATGAAATGCTCTGGGAGTTTGACCCACTGGAAGGATTCAGGGTTCATGTCTGAAGAATTCCTCAATACTCTGGGTATACACGGACCCATAATCAGGGGCTGGCTAAAGCTGGGGTTGATTGCACCATGAGGTCCCTGTTGGGAGTGCTGTCTCTGTCTCTCTCTGTCCCTATCTCACTTTTCTCTCTTGCTAATGAAAGAAAGAAACTTACAAAACAAAACATTAAGAAAGTTCCATGTACTAATAGGAAAAGGTATTTTGGGAAAGCTGGGTGATTTTAATTATTAGCATGTTTAGAAAACTGTCTTCGGGACCAGCAGGTAGTGTAATGACTATGTTGCTAAACTTCCATGTAATCAACCGCAGTTCGAGTCCCGGACCTGGTCGCTTAAACTCACACCAGGTGCATGTGTGTGTGTGTGTGCCCAAGATCCCGAGAGGAGAATGGAGGAGAAGGGATTGCGGCGTGGCCATCCCCCCTGTGGGGTGATTTCTCGCTTTCTGTCTCTGTGGTGAGCACACGTGCCCTGTAGCAAAAACCTCTTCAAAAAAAAAAGAAAAAATAGAAAACTGTCTTCAGGATCTGTTTAACATTTAAAAAGTTATTTATTCAACTTTATTTATTATTATTATTTTTTAATTTGACCAGAGAGACAGAGAAGGTAAGTGAGAACGCAAGCCACCAGGTCTAGGACTCGAACTGGTCTGCCATGTGGTAGTCCAGCGCCTTAACCACCATGCCACCTGCCAGCCTCCTGTTTAACATTCTTATATTCAGGACTGTAACTGAGCCAGCCAGTGACATGGTGGTTAAAGTGGCTGAGACTGGGAACCAGCAGTTAGTGTAATAGCTATGTTTTGGACTCCCATGTAGTCGACCGTGGTTTGCGTTGCGGACCCGGTGGCTTAAAACTCACGCTGGGCGCGTTTGCGAGCATGCCCAAGATCCTGAGAGGAGAAGTCTCTCTCGGACTGTCTGGTTAAGGGACGCGCCCTATAGTGAAAATCTCTCCCCCAAAAATATTTTCTGCAGAGGGGCAAGCAGGTGGCGAGGTGGTTAAGGTGCTGGACTCCTACATGGCTGACCATGGGTTGAGTCTTGGACCTGGTGTCATTTTTCCTCTTTCTCCGGTGAGTGCTACAGCAAAGTAAAATAATAATAATAAAAACAATTATTTAAAAATAAACTCTCTTCAGGGCTAGCCAGTGGCATGGTGGTTAAGGCAGGTAGATCCCATAGACTAAAAGAGAGGTTTGAGTCCCAGAACCAGCAGCTTGAAAAACACGCCAGGCACATGTGTGTGCCTACCCAGAATCCTAAGAGAATGGAGAAGAAGGGATTGCTGTGTGGCCATCCCCTCGGGGGGTTGATGTCTCACTTTGTCTCTCTCTGGCAAAGCAAAAACTGAAGGAAAAAAAAAAAAAAGCTCTGCAGACTTAACAAGGTTGTTAGGAGAAACCTTGCCAACTGAGGTTTTTTTTTGTTTTTTGTTTTTCAAGAATTATTTTATTTAACTTTATTTATTTTAATTTGACCAGTTTGATGACTTGAAAGTTTTAACAAGATTTAATGACAATGAACAAAAATAGGAACAAACACTTCTAAGGGTTTTTTTTGGATGTTTTTAATTAGCTCTGGGGCAAACTAAGGATAAGGAATTACTATAAGACATTTCCTTTGTAAGAGACTGTGAAGACCGTAGATCTTATGTTTTACTGTTGATTAATGCCTGTAGACATCTGCCTTTAATTCTGAAACATGAATGAACTTAGAGTGTGAGAATGTGTATGGGGCACACGGCGGTGTACCAGATGTCCGGAATGAAGAACTTGGTGCCAGTGCACAGTCACAGACCTGCTTCCTTTTCTGTGCTCAGATCTAGAGCCATTGTGAGTGCACCGAATGTCCAAGCTTTCTTCGTTTCCACTGCTGGGTTTTTTAAATGGTTTATCTTTGTTATTTGGGGCTTGAGAGGTACTCAAACCTAGAGAAGAGTTGTAAGAGCTATGCAAAGAACACATATGTTGGGGCTGGCAGGCTGCGTGGTGGTTAACGTGCTGGACTCGCACTTGGCCCACTGCTTTCGAGTCCTGGACCTGGCAGCTAGCTTTCTCTCTCTCTCAATCTCTGTCCCTCTCTGGTCAAATTAAATAAGTAAATAAGTAAAGTTAAACAAAATAGTTCTTTAAAGAAAAGAGAACACATGCCAAATTAAGATATTATTAGGTTTTAGCATTTCTCTCCATTTGCTGTATTTCTCTCCCTTCTCATATATATTTTATTCGTGTTTTCTAGTCTCCTTTAATCTAGAATAGGTCCTCAGTCCTTTATCTTTTATGGTTCTGTTAATCCCACCCAGTTTTATTTAATAAGATTCTTCTTTCCAGGTTTGCTGGTGTTTCCATATAATTAGATTTGGGCTCTGCATCCTCAGTTGTCCCCCAGACATCAAAATTTGTAGGTAGTGGGACCAGCAGGTGGCATGGTGGTTAAGGTGCTGGACACTCCCACATGGCTGACCACGGTTCGAGTTCTGGGCCTGGTGGCTTGCTTTCTCACTTTCCTTTCCTCTCTTTCTCTCTCTCTGTCGTCAAATTAAAATAAATGAATGAATAAAATTAAATAATTAAAAAAAAATCTGTAGGTAGGCACACATGTCTTCCTGCCCCTCATTGGTGATATTAATTTTTTTTTTCTTTTTGCCATAGGGTATGTGTGCTTGCCAGAGAGATGGAGATAGAGACAGAAACAGAGAGGGAAAGTGAGAAATCATCTCCAAAATGGAACAGCTACACTGCAGTCCCTTCTCCATTCTCCTCTTGGGATTTTGGGTACGTATGCATATGCCAGGTGTGATTTTTCTTTTTTCTTTTTTTTTTTTCTGGAGAGGTTTCGCTATAGGGCGCGTGCGCTCGCCAGACAGACAGAGAGAGACATAGAGACAGAAAGCGAGAAATCACCCCCCAAGGGGGATGGTCACGCCGCAATCCCTTCTCCTCCATTCTCCTCTCGGAATCTTGGGCACGCACGCCCACGTGCCCGGTGTGAGTTTTAAGCCACCGGGTCCAGGACTTGAACTGCGGTTGACTACGTGGGAGTCCAGCGACATAGCCATTACGCTGACTGCTGGTTCCCGCCAGGTGTGATTTTTCAAGCCCTGGGTCTGAGATGCGAACCATGGTTGGCCATATGCAAGTCCAGTGCCCTAACCACCATTCCACCTGCTGGCCCAGGTCATGCTCATTTTGATTGCCCATCAAAGTGATTGTCTACATTTTCCATCCTTACTACTTTTGAATAAGTGTATTTTCCTTGTCTGTCAGTTAAGAAAAGCCCATTGACTTTTGTACTCGTGTAATGATAACATTTGACAATAGCATATGACGCCAAGATCTCACAGCCTTGTGGGAACAGTAATGCTCATGCTGCCACTCCAGGCTGGGGGTGCTGGTGAAGGCCTGCTGCTGAGCTGGAACTCCCGTGTTAACCTTGCAGTAATGCAGGACTCCTTTGGATGGCTAAGGGTATCTAGTGGAGACCCTGGACTTCTGCTGCTACCTGACAATAACAAGAGGGCATATTCTTTTTTTTTATTAAAGATTATTTTATTAAACTTTATGTATGTATTATTTTAATTTGACCAGAAAGGGACAGTGAGAGAAAGAGTTGGGGAGGAAAGTGAGAAAGCAAGCCACTAAGTTCAGGACTCGAGCTGCGGTTGGCCGTGTGGGAGTCCAGTGCCCTTAACCACCACACCACCTGCTGGCCCCTGAGGTCATCTTTTTTTTTTTTAAAGATTTATTTATTTATTCATTCATTCATTCATTTTAATTTGACCAGAGAGAGACACACAGACAGAGAGAGGAAAGTGAGAAGGCAAGCCACCAGGTCCAGGACTTGAACCATGGTCGGCCATGTGGGAGTGTCCAGCGCCTTAACCACTACGCCACCTGCTGTTCCCGAGGGCATCTTTTTTTGTGCTGAATCAGCAAAACAGAGGGTTAAATAAGACCCAAAGTCTCAGAACATAATACATAAATACTCAGGTTTCAGTTTAAAATCCCT